CCTTTCAAGAACAGTCTTGATAAGTAGCCTTTTACTAGAAAGAGCAAAAGGTTTTTTTAATTTGGTTTTTATCCTAATCGCCAGGGGCTTTGTTTAAGATGAAATTTGGTTCTGAACTGAGAGAAGAGCATTATGGATCAACACCTTCATGGGCTTACCAGTTATTAGTGTTCATGAGACCCATTTTCTTATCTCCCTTTATGATACATGTATGTGACAAATCATGATGAATCTCTCCATGTGTAGAAACTATGTTGGCAGTTTTCATTGTTGCAGCTCTGCTGATAGTAGCAAAGCAGAGCAGAATTTGTTACCCCAAATATGCCTCTTTGGCATAAGAATTTTTTAGGCTTTTTTTTTCCAAACAGCAGACACAAGAGATGCTCTGAAAACCAAGTGGAAGTTATTCTCTTCTTTATTAACAGCCATTTATATTTGTAAGGGGGATTTCCATTTGTAAGGGTGTCTGCCTCTCTGTACCTGGAAAACGAGGATAATTAAGTCTGTAGAAACTCATAAGTGGACAAGATGTGGACTTAAATCTGGATAACAACCATACCCAATGTTTACTGTGCTTTGTCTGAAAACCCAGCTCCTACTTATTCCAATACCTTCTTTGGTTTTCAGTTGGAAATGGTATTTAAGGTAGTGGTTTGTGCCAGTTTGGGGAGTTATTCAGTTTTCCTGGGTCTTTTCCATATATGCAGTAGGTATACATGTTTTGAAACTTCTGCTTGCTTTTCTCTTGTTTATCTTTTATTATTATTATTATTATTGTTACTGGGAGGTCTCAGCCAAGAACCTCGAAGGGCAGAGGGAAAATTGTCTTTCCTCCCCCACAATAGGTTCTTGTCTTTTGTTTTTTCACTTAGAAATTCACATTTTTATAGATTAACATTTTGTAAGCAGTAACTTTTCCTTATATGAAATAAAAGTCTACATTACATATTTTGGTAAATATACAACCTCTTTTATGCACTTGTATCCATTTTGTAGAGTAGTGGCAATGCCCTATACAAGCAGAGAATAGTGACACATTCATTGTTGACAGACTGAAAGACAGGCTAGAAAACACAGTGACTTGGTAGTGACAAATAAAGTCTAAGGTTGAATGGCATGTAAGTGTAGAAGTACTGTTTCTGGGGTATTAAAATATTTTTTTTACATTCAATAGCATATAAAATGTTATTAACTTAATATTTTTCATAGATTGATTTGACCTTATTAAAAACTTCATCTTAAGCAATCATACAAATGGTAGGCCTAGATGACCTTCTCAAATGAAAAGCAAACTTTCTCATGTATTCCTGATGGAGATAATTTCACAGCTTGGAGGAAGTCTTCTATAGAAGTCAGGCTCCTGCCCTCCCCTAGAGACTGGGAGACAGGGTCTTTACATTCCTCAAGTATTACATTTCAAAGGGATGATTCTCAGGTCCTTTAGGAAGTATCCTGGGCTGTAAAACTGGCAAAAGTTTGAACTGGGGGCAGATTGACATTTCAAAGGGACAGATAAAAGTATTTACAATTGTAAGTTTGCTAAAGTAAATGCTCTTAGAAAAGGAAAGTCACTGGCCTGTAGTCAGGAAGAGACCTGTTAAGAGTTTTGTCAAGCTGAAGGGAACATTAAGTCCATCTTGTTTTTCATTTATTTTTTTATGTTTTCCTCTTTGAAAGGACCGCGCACAAAATCTAAATGAACGGCGAACCACCACCACCACCCTCACAGTGGATGTTCTGGATGGAGATGACTTGGGTCCAATGTTTCTTCCTTGTGTCCTGGTGCCAAATACTCGTGATTGTCGTCCACTCACCTATCAAGCTGCCATACCTGAGATGAGGGCTCCGGTAAATATACTCCCTATCTTTTCCCCTTCACTTACACCTCTAACCCAACAAGATCCTGAGATCCTGTTCAAGTATTTCACAGACATATTGGGTGAGAACAGCAAACTTCACTATATGGGTGTTGAAAAATACTTATGTCCAAAACTATTTCCTGAGCATATAGGAAAATTTTGCTCACAATGCCTAACTATGTAACTTTTAAAGTGCAAGTATGTCCTGAAGCAACAATCCATTCGGCACATTATTTTATTTTGTTTTTTTTTCTGCTTATGAATCATAATAAAGTCCGGTTGCCAACATATTCTGGGAAACTCCAAGAAATAACTCCAGCATTTCCTTAAATTCATTGTAAACATGCCATCCTAGGTAGAAGGCACGCAGTCAGCAGGGTACTCTTTAGCTACCTAGAGTCCTGAAATATTATGGATATTATGATAGGCTGTTTGGGGATGGGATCTAATGAATCCTGAATGCAAACATGTATCATTTAAAGTCGTATTTTAAAGAAGCAGAAAGGTAAGACATGAATACATTTTTTTCTATGTTCTGCATGTGTTTTTTAAATTCTAATGGAGTGATAAATTGCTGTCAGTTTGAAATTCACACCTTGTATCTGCCTGGATGATAAATATTCATACCTGAGAATGAAAACTGTAAGGCAAATAGATATCATGCTAAGGCTAAAACACCAATTTCTCCCTAAAAAGTAAAAAAAAAAATATTAATTTTCTTTTAGATAAATCAAATTCCTAGGAAACAAATGTCTTTGCTTGACTAAGGTCTTGCTCCTCTGGGAATCACCTCCTTTCTGGGTTAGCAAAGTGGTTTAGGATGCCAGAATTTCTTGGAAGGTATTGAAATTTTTTCTTGAATTTGTGGGAATGCGGTTTGGGAGATCCTGTTTGTATTTGAGATTTTTAAAGAATAAAACGAATTTCTTCTCCTAAGTGTAAATTACCTTGTATTTTATTCTTTTCAAAGAGATCTTATGCAATGTTTTCTCTTGCAGCCTTAGTCACTGTAGATCTTAAATGGTTGAGGTGCACTTTTGTGTTTACTGGCATAATGATGACCTGTCTAGCTGCTTCAGTGAACAAAAAGAGCTGGAGAGAAAAATAATAAATGTTACAATGTGCATTGAATGAAGGAAATAATGTGAATTATCAGCTACATGGAGTAATTTTGCAGAGAAAAAGGCAATTTGTCTGGACAAATAGTCAGAGATGAACTAAAGTTATGTGTCATGATAGTATTTTGCTGAATACCAGTAAGAAGGCTATTAGTGATGGTGAACACTAAACTTTTATTTGAAAGGCTTAATTGAAATTATGAATAAAAAATAATATTTTTAGTAATAGTTTATTTTTCTGAGTTAATTTGTGTAGCTGTTGTAGTAGTGAAATCCCAAGAAAAAGGGCATACTGGTATAATAACGACTAAAATCAGTACATCAGTCCAATGACTGTTTAACAGTAAGTGAGATGTTGAGAGAAGTAAAGGAAGACAGAGGTTGTTGCTTGAGAAGTGGAGTGTATTGGCTTTATAAAGGATCTAAGCATCCCTTCCTATTTCCTCCAGTCTATAGACTAAGCTCTTATTTCTCTCATTCCTATGCAATTTCATGCTAGAGACAAAGTTGTGCTCCAGATTTGGGGCATAATATAAACAATAATAATGATTAATTAGTAGATACATTGTTCAGTTTGTCATGACTATGCTAAACTCTGCAAAGCATTAAGTGGAATCTTTCAGATAGTTACCACTATTATTATACCACTGGTTGCAGATGAAATCTCTGAGGTTACAGAATTTAAGTAACTTTCCATGGCCTTATAGCTAAAAGTGAAAAGTTTTCTTTTAAAACCACATATTTTGAATTAAATATTATGCTATAAATCCAAAATGATAAAACTTTATAGGTCAGTATAATTTTTAAAAGATTGATCCATTCTTTAACATTCTATGAATGTTAAAAATTTCAGTTTTATCATAAAATAATTATTACAAATATTTATTCATAAAGGGATTTATTTTTTGCTACCATGTAGGAAAAAATATGTTTTACTTGCAAAATTAGGTACTTGTTCCAATTGTTGACTGCAGCATAACAAACCATCAAAATGTAGTTGGCTTCAAACTATAGTCTTTACATTTTTTCACAAATGTGCAATTTTGGTAGATTTGAAGGAGCATCTCATCTCCGCTCCACATAACATCAGCTGGGCACCTTGTGTCTGAAGGCTGGGTACCACTTTCAGAATGGTTAACTCAGTGAGTTAATGCTGGGTGTTGGCCAGGGCTGTGAGCTGGAGGCTTCATTTCCACTCCATATGGGTATCTCCTAAGCTGGGCTTCCTTCACATCAAGGCACTGGGTTCCAAGAAAGAACAAGCTTCCCAAGAGAATTAGGCAGAACCTTTATGAACCAGCCTTGCAATTTGCAGTGTTACTTCCTCTGTAGTCAAAGCTCTGCCAGGGTCAAGGAGTAGAAAGTATGTACCATCTGATGGGACGAGTGTAGGAGTCACATTGTAAGAACAACTGGGGAAGAAAATTTTACTGTGGCAAAGGTCAGAAAAATAACACCAGCCATGGTCCCAGCATCAGTTTTCCACTGCTCTTCACGTGTCATTTTAGATCCCCCCTGGATCACTACGAGGGTTAAGGAACTGGAGCTGGTTTTTGAGTTTCACATTCAAACTGCTGTGCTTATGTCTGTCCCTTCAATTTTTTTCAATTTTAGTTTTTTCAGTTTTCCTTTATATATTTTGCTAAAGTTTCTAGAAATACCAATAAATGACATCTTGCTATTCAGAGTGAAAGAACTACCCATTCATGTCAACTAAACAGGACATGATGACTCTAATTACATACTTGCTGATCCTTTTCTGAAGTAATTCTTCAAATTTTGAAAGCTTTGACACCTGCTCACCTTCTGTGTTGATATGAAATTTTCCACCAATTACCTCAGTGGTGTACTTGACTTGAGAAACCATTCTTAGTTCCACTACAATGCATGCAGAATTTATCAGCCCCAAAAAATCTTAAAAGGCAGCCTAGCACAGTGTTTAACTTATGAACCAGGATATGATAAAAATAAAAATTTACTATTTATTGAAATGCAAATAATCATGTTTAAAGAAAAGCATATTTAATGTTTTATGTTTTTTTACTACAGAAAACTCTTCAGCAAAAACTGCTTACACAAACACTAAGATTAATATTACATTGAATATGTAAATATATAAATCTGGTGTCTCAGGGATACTAAAGCAATTTGTAGTCCCGTGTTCATTATTATTATTTTATTAATTTGATAAATATCTAGTGGACCCTAAGGTATGTTGAGCTCTACATTAATCAAGGACACTGACAACTGGTATGAGTTAAAACCCTTCCAATATGTTGTCTAAATTTACTCTTACTTTCTGACTCTGTTGTAGTTGTTATTATGCCTATCTAGTTGAAACATTTTAGTACTATGGAAAAATTCTGTAAAATCTGCATAGTGTAGAATCCATAGCTCTATTTTCTCAATTTTCTGTTAGAGCTCAAAGATACAGTAAACACCCTTTTTCCCAGAATTGAGCAGTTGTGTCCTGTTCAGTTGGTTGCTTGGTCTTTTCCTGAGTAATTTATCCCTGGATAAAAATACCATGGTATGAATATGATAATATTGACATATTATCTTTATCTTTAGATGTATCTATGCATTTACCATACATGACTTCCTTTATATTTTTGTTCCATGCCATTTTCAGTATTTCAGCATTAGTTGCTTCCCAGACATAGTCATCTAGTAGCTAGAATCAACACTCATTAATGAGCTCTTCCCCATCCATGTTTAAAGCTCTGGGTTGGCCCCCAGGACCTTCTAGCCACAAATACTTCCACTATAATCTTGCCATAAAGAACTCTAGTTTCCATGGAACTGTCAAAGATAGCTCCTCTGCTTTATTTATGGTGCTCTTTCCTTCCAGGGAAGCTTTCTCAGTTATTGGAAAGAGTGGTGGTGATTTGCAGTGATGTACAACATTTATAATTTCCTTTTAGCTCATAGTCATTAAATGTGTTACAATCTGGGAAACTACCTCCTCTCTTGTCTTTTATGGAAGCACTGGTTCTCTTCTCCTTGATGGCCCTGGATTTCTCCTCTTAAAACTTTGATAGCTTTTTTTTCTTTTAACTGAGTCTCTCTGCTTGGGCTCTTTTATTTATTTATTCTTTTTTCTTTGTTCTTAAAACTTAGGGATTTTCTAGACTTCTATCCTATGAAAATTTTGTTGTTCACTACAGTTTTCATTAAGATTCATTAAACCTCTGTGAATGAGTCCTATTTTTCTCCAAATTGGGATTGTATGTTATGTTGAAGTATTTTCGGACTTGAAACCTCTCCTAACTCGCAAGCTTCCATTCTTTTTTTTATGTATTTTTGCCAGTTTTTTGCCCAGATGTCTCATTATCCTTTCTAATGTGCTATAATGCATTCATGCCTGCTCTCACAGTACCTCCTGTTGCCTTGGGGTCACTGTTGCTGTGGACTTAGACTCCAGTGACCCTCTGTGCCAAATGCAATCAATCCCCAAAGGCACTTTCTACACTATCTATGGAATGTTACTCAAATGTGTTTGCTACTTATTTACACTGTCAAAATGTCCACTTAAAGACATACTCTTAACTCTGGACCCCCAGCCTTTAGTCTCTCCCTCCTCCCACCATCATCTCACTGAAGGCAGTTATTTTTTTTGAAACACAATTCTAACTTGTTCTAACTTGATTTTTCCCTGTTTAAAATAAAAAGCTTCAGTGTTTCCCATCATATGCAGAACTGGTTCCAAAGATTTTGGAGTATCATTTAAAGTGATTTTATATCTGACCACTTTCCAGTCTCATCTAACCTGCATAACTCAGCTTGTCTTAAAACTCAGAGCCTTTTTCATATGTACTTGAACCTTTATGAGAATTACCCTCCCTTCTCTATTCTTTGTTTCACATATTAA